CAGAGTTTAGACAAAGGATGCCTGCAGGGAGTTTGGTCTCAAGCGCCTTGGCCCATTTCATTTCTTTTTTTTTTTTTTTTTTTTNCTGAGCCATCCTGCTACCTGTTGGCAGCTCAGCGGCTGCTCAGCTCGGGCTGGACTCAAACCGCTGTTGCTCAGAGCTCAAACTCTTGAGCGAGCTCCTAACCAACTGAGCCACTCGGCCGGCCCTTCATTTCATTTCTTGATCAGCCAGGCTGGGTAAAAGTGGAGGTAAGCACCCTGACAGAGAGAACTAAAAGTGACAATTACCAGCGTCTGACAAGGGGTGATTGGAAGGCCGCCTTTTGCCCTTTTTACTGTCCATGTAACTCAGACACGATTTAAAACTCCTGAGATAAGTCCGGTCTCCTTACCCGGATATCCGTGGCACCTCCCAGCCCAGCCCAATACCGCCCGGTGCCGGGTCTGCTCTCCAGCCACATCCAGCTCTTTTCCACACCACTCCCTAAACACCATCTGCACAGGTCCCACCTCCGGGCCTTTGCACAGGCCCTGCCCTCTACCCAGCATGCCTTCCTCACCAACTCTCCTACCTCTGCCCTATCCTTGGGGACCCTGCTCAGGCACTCCCTGCCCCAGGAGCCACTCCAGATTCTCAACCAGAGTAACTCACTGGTCCCTGAGCCCCCTCGGCAGCATGTGGCATCTCTCTCTGGCTCTGACTAAATCCTGTCTGGGTCAGAGGGATATGTGATTAAATCTGTTTCCCCCAAACTGTGTTCTGCTCTGAGTCATCCATGACAACCCCACCCCCCACCACCACAAAGCCCAGGCTCAACACAGGGCCAGGCCAGAACAGATGTCTTGGAAACGTCGAGATGGGCCAGATTCCTGATTCCCACCCTCCCCCCACCCTCACCTCATTTCCGTTTTACTCAGCTGAGGGATCTTGGTGCAAGATCCCGCTGGGCATGGCTCCCGGTTGTGCCAGCAGCTCACCGAGCAGGGCAGAGCTCTGGCTGAGAGGGCTGGTAATGAGGTCAGCGAACCTCCTGTGGAAGGAGTGGCATGAGAACCTGGTGGTGGGCATCACCGTATTCGCTGAGCTTTCCCAGTCAGAGCCGCCAACCCGTGGGTGCCTGGGGTCTGCCAGGGGTGGGTCACCTTGCTGGAGCAGACTGCCTCCAGGCCCCTGATGACATTAACCTTTGCTCGGGCTGTCCCTAGATCGGGTAACCCCTTCCTTTCTCACTTCCCATTGAGACTCAGAGAAAATAGCATGGGCTCCAGAGGGAGTCCTGAGTTCAAATCCTCGTTCTTGCCACAGGATCACTGAAGGACTTTAGCCTTGTCACCTCACCTCAGTTTCCTCATCTGCAATGGGGGGCTGTGCAGATCAAAGGGGGCAATGCCCCGCCCAGGGTCTAACACGCTAGCAGCTCAGTTATAACCACAAGAGAGGGCTTGTCACGTTCTCTCTGACAGCCTTGCCTTCCATCTCAAACCCCCCTCACAGGCTCAGACACAACGGCCCGGACGAACCAGTGTCTGCCACCACACTACCCACAGGGCTTGTCTCCCCCGAGCTGAACCCGCCACATGGGCCTGCTGAGTCAGACTAAGACCCTCCCTCCATCCTGTCAGCCACCACTGTCTGCCCCCTCAACCCCCTGTCTCCCCCACCACACTCAATACACATTTTCACAGCACTATTTCCGCTTGAGCAAACTGAGGCCCAGGGTGCATGCATTGCCCAAATTTATACAAGGAGCCAGCTTGCAGACCACCCAACAAGGCCTCGGGGGAGGTCCTGCTTCGGGGGCGTCCACAGAGCGCCTGTCCCATGGAACAGCTTATCCCTCGGCCCACCCACCTCGGTGTTTCCCATGGGAGCCTCAGCGTGTCAGCCCCAGATCTGTCACCCAAGCCCCTCGTCCTGCCTCACCCTTCATGGTCTGCCTACAACAGCCAACAGGTCTTGAGCACTGCGTGTGTGCCAGGCACTGTGATAACTGCTTGTGGATTTTCTGATTTTCCTCCTAAGTATTTCTCATGAGTGCCTCCTCCTCCCCATGCTCACCGCCCCAGCACCCCGGGACTGAACCAAGGCAGCAGTGTCCACACTGGCTTCTCTGCCTCTTTTCTCCAGGACTCCACCTTCCACCCAACACACAAGTTTCTGTCACTACCCCATTCCACACCTGCTGGGGCTTCCCACTGCCCTTAGGGTGAAGTCCAAGTTCCCTCAACATGGCCGCTCACATAACCTTCATACACACCCTACAACCAACCTCCCAGAGACGGTCGGAGATGCTGGGTTCCCACATGGACGGCACTCCCTACCTGGCTTGCCCACAAACACTGCACTTGTTACATTTACTTCTAACTGAAACGCCCTTTCCCACTCCCCCATGTGTGAGACAGAAGCATCCTGCCCTGGGCTCTCCACCTGGGGCTGGAGGGGTCACTGTGTGCGTGCGCGGTGGCCTGCTTTCTTTTCACTCAGGGGCCCCAGTACAGGGAAGGTGCTGCCTTCACCCCCAAGGCCCAGTCTGTCCCAGTTGTGGGGGGAACAGGCAACGTCAGAGCAGAAGCCGTCTGCTCCCACTCAAGCCTCACCCTGCAACTTTCTTAAACCAATTCCTCACACCCACATCTTTCTCCTGCACAGAAAGCCCCCATCCCCCACCAGTCTGTACTTGCTAAAGACCTCCCCCATCCTCAGGGCCACCTCAGACACCGGTCCCCTCCCCACAATTATCACACACATGCACATAGGTCTGGGGTTGTGCCCCAGGCGGAGCTGGGTCTGATGCCATTCGCTCTCAACCCCCAGCCCCCCAGCAGGGCCCAGCGAGACCACCGGCGTCCACCTGAAGGCTGCAGGACAGCCCAGCAGGCCCTGGATTCTGGCTCCTTCACCACTGTACGGTTTTATAAGCTGATACAAGGGATGTAGACTCAGTCTCTGACCCCAAGAGGAGAAATGAGGGGCTGTGGTCACAGAACGAATCAAGGGTGAAGACTGATGTGGGGATAGCAGGCCATTCGGTAGCAGAGTGAGATGGGGGTACGGGCAGCTGCAGGTTTTCAGTGTGTCTGCGTCTCTGCGCCTAACTCTAAACTGCCCTCAATGGATGCTATTTCATCTGCTCCCCTGGATGAGAAGAGGACATGACCACAGTGGGTGGCCTGGGAAGGGTGGAAGGTGAAGCTCGGGCCAGAACAGTTCTGGATTCTCCCTAGCCTAGGGAAGCCCAGCCAGGCGCAGGATCAGGGTCAGTCTAAGGGGCTTCCTCCCACTCTCCCCAGCACCTTCTTGTTACTTCCTCACTTTCCCTCATCCTCAAGGCTCAGCGCTAGTCTCACTTCCTCCAACAAGTTCTCCAGGATTGGTCCATTTGTCTCACGGCCTCATACCTTGGAACAAAACTCACAGTTTCATGTCTCCCACCCAGACTGGAGCTGCCGGGGCCCTGCTCCCACACACTTCCCATAACTTAGCAAAGCTGCAAGCTAAGCGACTGCATTGCAAGCCTGCTCTGCTCTGTCTTAGTCTCTGCTGTCCATCAGCTGGGAGAGTGCCGAGGCCTCAGAAAGGGGTTTGATAAATGTCACCTGGATTGACATTTCTGAGAAACGTGCTGGGGTAATGACGGCCGGTCATTCCAGAGGCCACGGGAAACAGACAAGCAGGAGACAAGTGACACCGGGGTGAGAGTTCCAGGCCATGGGGTATTCTAGAGCCGGAAGGCAGGACAGAGACCTAGGCTGCAGCCCCCTTTCCATTATTAATAATACTTGTAACCCTGCACAGTCACTGCCCCTCTCTGGGCCTCAGTCACCTCCTCTGGACTGGGAGGGCGTGCACCAGTCTCAGCATCTTCTCCAGGCATTCTTGGTGATGGGGATCAAAGCCATAGGACACAAAACACTTGAGACCCTCTCCAAACCTGATATGTAACTGAAAATAAAGGTAAGTCTAAACTATAGAATAAGGAAAAGAAAGTTCAACCAAGTTCAGACATTTCCATGATGGCTATTTTGATGTTTTTGAAGTATCATATACTAAACTGTGTCCCAAAATATATGCTTTGCTGGTACCCGGCACGTTTGGCCTGCCTCTTGATGATCAGGCCCCATGGTGGATACTAATCCTGAGTCCCCTTCCAGCACGGACTCAACACCGAGACACTGGGGCTCACTTACAAGCTCTGGCCCATCCTTCAGGGAGGACTCAGGCCCCCAGGAGCCTTGAAACATGTCCATCTTACTGTTCTGTCAAGCTTCTGAGCACAGCAGGAGACCCCAGGAAGCCTGCCCAGATCATGGAGCAGGACCACCCTGGCCTGAGGGTGATCTGAGCAGTCCCCAGGGGCTGGCTGACCATGCTCCATCCCAAACCTGGGGCCCTGTGGGCAGGGGTGGGCTCAGGGCTTGGCTTGCCCCAAGTGGCTTCCATGGGAGGTTTAAAGACCAAAATGGGACCTCTTCCCCCACCCGCCACAGAGATTCTCATATTGGCCCCAACATCAGAACAGGAAGCAGGCTCTCCGAATGCATTCACTCACTACAGACACACACTTCCACGGTCTCTCATCAACACTCACATTCGCACAGGGACCTCACCCTCATCACCTGAACCCCTGGTCTGTAGAAGGGAGCTCTGCTGGGGGAAGTGGGGTGATTGTCAACCTCTGAGAACAAACTCTGCAGAGACCTGAGGACCTGCCCAGAGTGGGTGCCTTGGGGAGAGGGCCCAGGGTGGGCAGGGGAGGCTGGCAGAAGGAACAGGGTGGCAGAGCTCTGGAGTCTGAAGCCGCAGGCTGTCAGTGCTGTCAAGAGCATCAAAGGCCCTTCTGAGGAAGCCTGGGGACCTGACCCGACCCGCCCAGCAAGAGTATCTCCCTGGGGACATTCCCACACCTTTTCTGACCTCTGGCTCTGACACAGACAGACAGACAAAGGCTGTGCTGAGGGCATGGCAGACTCCCAGGGCAGGGGTGAGGCTGACTTACTGGTCACGTAGAGCAGAGTGTGGAAGAGCCACATCCTAGCTGGAGCAGAGGCAGCGTCGCCTGCTCAGCTCCCCCACTCAGCTGGGGCAGCCAGGAGGCGGGGACAGAGGCACACACACGCAAGGACCCACAGACAGGCAGGCCTTTCAAGACAGACGCTCCCACTCTACACAGCTGGCGGCGTGGCTTCCTCAGCCCTTGTGGGCTGGGTCCTGGGAGCTTAGACACCGTCAACCCTGTCCGTCACCCACACTTGGAAGGGGAAGCGGTGCGGCCTGGGAACACAGCTCTGGGTGTCCTCGGTGCAGACGTCCCAGGTGAGGGAGCAGCAGTAACCCGGCCGTTGTTCATCGTCCATGGGAGTCCCAGTCCCCTGCTCCAGGCCCAGCACCCAGTTGCCTCAGCAGTGAGAATGGGTCCCTCCTCCCACAGGAAATGCCCCTGTGGGAGAAACTAGGCTCCTGCACCTGGCCCTGCACTCATAACCTTGAGGCTGTGGAGGGCCCCATGAATGAAATCGCTTCCTCAATTCAGCTTTGGCTGCATTCTCTTTAAAACCTTGGCTGCAGCACTGCAATGCCAGAACTAATTTAATAGCGCTCTGAGCTACCAGAACAACGGAAGAAGTAAAATTCCATAAAAATTTCAGCATACCTCTGATGCAAACTGCCAACGGTCTGCAGTCATACTTAAATGCTAAAGTCGCTGTGTGACCAGGTCTGTCACAGAAGGAAGCTGCTCTCACACCTGTCCCAGGCTGTCACCGTGCAGAGCCGTGCTGTCCCAGAGCTCTGCCATCATGTTCCAGACCTACACTGTCCAGCACGGTGGTCACGAGCCACAGGTGGCCATGGAGACCTGGACATATCACCAATGCAACTGAGGAACTCAATTTTAAATTTTATTTAATTATTTTACATTAAAAAAGGCAGGGGGCTCTAGGTCTCTCTCACAGGAAGACTGTGAGTCCAGGGAGAGCACTTTGCAGTGTTCATGTGTTAAAACACAGCAGACAAATATGTTGACTAAATGACTAGGGGAAAACCAATTTTATTTTGTTTCTCACATTAAAAGCTTGCTTGGCCTAAGTTTTGTCAAGATCGATGACACTTAAAACATTTCTGCACTGTCCGCTTTGGTTTGACAAAGTACCTACAGGTAGTAAGCGAGTTCCCAATGTTACAGTTGTTTGAACAGATAACAATTCACCATTTTCCACACTATGTATCCAATAAGGAAGTTAAACAGCTGAGAAAGCAAAGCTCCAGTCTGATGATTTGCCTCCCAGATCACCATGATGACCATTCCAAGTCGGCTTACCCTTGTCACAGGCCAGCCCTGTCTACCCTGCCCCACTCCAGAGCTCAGTGACTCTCCTCCCCACACCTGTTCAGTGTCAGGGGCACTTGGCAGAGTGACCAGGAGATTCTTTTCCCACCACTGGCCCAGAGGGGCAAGAAAGTAGCCCCAAGCCACAGAGCAGATCAGCAGGACAGGCTAGAACCCAGGACTGCAGCTCGCGGGAGATTTCTGAGAGAAGCAGGATTTGGTGTTTGGAGTGCGAACTTCAGGACATCTCAGGATGACTGGATGCTGGACCAGGCACATGGCCAGTTTCTGCATCTTTGGAGATGTCTAGAATGAGGACTCATCCTGCATCCATCTAGGATGTGTTTATCCAAGCTTGCTGGTGCCAGTATGGCAGACCCCTAATCCTGAGCACATACAGGGGCCTCTCAAGCTTGTCTGACAGTAACTGCTGTCCCTGCAAGCCCAGACTTAAGGTCCCAAGGGCCAGGCTGTGCTATGTACAAGGCTGGGTGTTCAACAAATGCATACATATCCAAAAAGGAATTTGAAAATGACTTCAGAAGTTTTGACTTTAAACAAATGTTAAGGGACCAACTGAAGGGACATTCTACAACATAAATGGACTAAACTCTTTAAAAAACATATCATAAAAGACAAAGAAAGGCTAAGGAATTGTTCCAGATTAAAGGAGACTAAATGTAGTGTGTGTTCCTGGATGGGATCCTAGACTAGAAAAAAAAATGCTTTAAAAAACATTATTGGTTCAGTAAAATATAATATCATTGATGGGAATGTTAACCAGAAATTCAAGTCTCTGGTTATGGCCAAAAAAATTGACTGTGGAGAGTTACATGGAGGGCATCAAATCTAGCTGTTATTTATTTTCATTAAAAACAGGAAATAAAAGTAAAGTTATAAGGTTAAGATATAAGTTATAAGGTTAAGATATAGGGTTATCTTAACCTTATATCCCAAAACATTATTGGGATAGTTGGCAAAACTGAAACATGAATTATAGATTAGATACTACTGATTAGATAAAATTATATATTTCCTGAATTTGATAACTATACTATGGTCTAATGAGAGAATGTCCTTGTTCTTAGGAAATGTACACTGAAATATTTAGGGGACATAACATATGCAAGTAACTTTCAAATAGTTTATGGTTCAGAGAGAGGAAAGGAGGGGCGGGGACGAGGGAAAGAATAAATGATAAAATGCGGCAAAATGTTCTTTATTCTACCCTTGAAACTTTTCTGTAATTTCAAACTAAAGTTTTAAAAGTTATGGGATGAAGAGCCGTGTTGAGCATGAAAATAAAAGGACTAACTGCTCTGACTTGAGAGTGAGTCTAAAGCGCTGCTACCCGTGCCCACCAGTGAGTGGGAGGTGTTCCCACAGCCCTGCCCCTCAGCCTCCACACCCGAAAACGTTTCTAATTACCCACTTGCCTTCTGAGTCTTAGGAAGCTGGCAAGAGGGAATGTGGAAGTGAGGACATTACTGACACTAGAGCCTGGAGCAAGCGCTGCAGTGAAGGAGAGTTGGCAAAGGGGAGCTAAGACCGAAGAGCAGTAGTAATCACCACCACTGAGTGAATGCTCAGGCTGGAGTGCCAGGCTCTGTGCAAGGGCCTTCCATGCAAGCCCTCATCCGATCCTCACGGTCACCCTGCCACGTTATCCCCATTCCACAGAGGCGGCGGCCGGCTCAGAGGCAGTCGTTAAGGAATTTGCCCAAAGCCATAGGCTAGTGGCAGACTTGAAACTCAAACAAGTCGGTCTCCTCCCGAACCGGAACTTGGAACCACTACAAACCCCAGTGCCTTCAGATCCATGGGTCTAAATCCCTCCCAGTTCACGAGCTATTAAAAAGCAGGGACCTGGGCCAGCCGAGTGGCGCGTTGGTTAGGAGTTGGCTTGGGATGCCAGCTCTGAGCAGCAGGGTCCTGGTTCAGATCCCACATGGGCCAGTGATGCCGCGCCCTCTACAGCTAAGATGGTGAACAACAGCTCGACCTGGAGCTGGGCTGCTGCCGTGAGGCGCCGGCTACAGTATAGGCTGCAGTGGGGCTGGCCGGCAGCTGGCGTGCGCTTTCGTGAGCTGCCGTGAGCAGCCATCCAATGGCTGGCAAGTGACTGCCTCACCCAGGAGGAGCACAATGATAATACCAACATGGGCCAGTGAAGCAACATCTTCCACAACTAGACTGAAGAACAAAAAGGGCAGCAACTTGTCTGTTCCCCTCCCCCAACTCCCCAATAAAATCTTAAAAAAAAAAAAAAGCAGAGACCTCATTCCACAAACAATATACTGGCATCCTTGCATCACTAGGTGCTGTGGACTGAACTGTGTCCTCTCCCCCAATTAATCTGTTGATGCCATAAGCCCCAATGTAACTATATTTGGAGATAGGGCCTTTAGGAGATAAGGTCATCAAGGTAGGGCCCTAATCCTAGAGTAGGGGTAGGCAAACTTTTGAGACGGAAGAGACGCCAGGGGTCGGCAAACTGTGGCTCACGAGCCACATGCGGCTCTTTGGGCACGTGCACGTGGCTCTGAAGTAAAATTGAAAATGAAAATAAAACTATCATAGTTTCATTTATATTATTTTAAATTTTCCTTATTTGTAAAAATATATTTATGGCTTTCAAATAAGTTTTAAATTGTTGTGAGGGACAGGGTTGGCTCTTCCAGAGGTTGGCAAACTTTTGAGACGGAACATACCCAAAGAGCCACGTGTGGCTCGCGACCCACAGCTTGCAGACCCGTCCTAGAGGCTTGGTGGTCTTACAAGACGGATATCTCTCCATGTGCACGCGCCAAGGAAAGGCCATATGAGCACAGTGTGAAGATGGCTGCCTGCAAGCCAGGAAGAGGTCTCACCAGAGCCCTACTATGAACTTCTGAACTTGGATTTCTAGTCTCTAAAATGTGAGGAAATAAATTTGTTGTTTAAGTCACCCAGTCAATGGCAGTCCAAGCTGACTCCTACTGACTAATATACTGGGATACCTCCTAAAAAAGCTCCCAAATAAACCAGTGAAGTGTGCGTGCACGCACGTGTGTGCATACGTGCGTGCGTGTGTGTGTGTGTGTGTGTGTGTGTGTGTGTGTGTCGGGCAAGGGGGCCTTCGTGGGGAGGGAGCAAAGGCGAGGATCCTTATGTCCTTCCGAGGGGCTGGAGGAGGGGAGTGTAGCATTGGGTCATGGAACCAAGGGTCCAAGGCTTGGCCTCTGGCTTGGCCCTACCCCTTTTCCTGTCCAGCTTACAGTCCTGATGCTCCTTGGGAAAGCACAGCAAAGATCCCAGAACTCACGTTAACACTAAAAGGAAACGAGATCATCTCAGTCAAGCCCTTCATTTGACAGGGAAACTGAGGTCCAGGCAGGTGAAGGGACTCGCTCAGTCTTTTCCTGTTTGTACGTGTGACAGAGTGAATTCCCAGCCCCCATTCCATCTGATCCTCTGCGAAAGACACTCTACCTAAAAGTGCTGCCGCCTGCTCATAGGCTCTCTGAGGAACCCTGACCAAAGACAAGAAGGGACGCATCACGGGACTAAACACACAGCAACCCCAGGAAGGGACGGGAAGGCCGTGTCTCTGCTCCTGCCAATTGTGCGGGCCTCTTGCCCTCGGGAACCTACACTGGACAAGGACAGGCGTGGGCAGTCTGAGGTAAGCACAAGTCTTAACTACTGAAAAATCTGGCCATCCAGGAAGGGCCTCCAGAATTGCTCAAACAAAAACAAATAAGGACCCCAGGGCAGAGTATTGATTTTGGTAGGTTAAATACTACCCATACTCTAGTTTTATTTATAGCACAGCAAAGTCCCACTTCAATGCCTCATAACTATTTGAAATAGGCTTTTGAGCCAGCATTTCCCTAAACGCGCCAAGGAACATCAGTTTTGTGAAATGTTCATAAATTTCATTTTAAGAAATGCTACAGTAAATATTCAAATAACGTACAGCAAATAATGTACAGTTCCTTGTTAGCATAGCCAATTATGCCAACCTACTATAGGAATGCCTGAATTGACAATGCAAACAAAGGAGCACTGAATAAATAATGACTAAAAAAAAAAAAGCTACAGTATTGTTTCTTCTCAGATTTATTTTATAAACATGTAAGAAAAATTCCTAGGTATCGGTGGTCCGGTCATACAATAACAATCAGCCCTGAAGCAAGTGTGCTACTCTCATGATTATAAAAACACCACTGTCCTTTTAGTTCTTAAAAGAAGTGGCTTAACTTCTAATTTACTTCTTGTTATATAAGGTTTCGAAGCAAATAATTACACATCAAACTTATGTGTGCAGCGATTAAGCCATGAAGCCATGATTTGCTGTTAACTGGAATCCACAGTGCCTGCTAGCATTTCACCATAACTAAGAATGCTCCGTGTGCCAGTTGGGATGCTGCCGTATGCGAAAGAGCTGCTGCCGGGAAACAGTTCCGTTTCCTTCTCTGGACTGCCATCACTTTCCTCACCAATAGGACCACAGGCTGAACTGGCCTAGCGGGTCCCTCTCTGAGGGCTCTCATCCACCTGTCAACTTCCTCTCCTGCTCTCTTGGGGCAGATGAATGAACGCCTTCTAAAAACTATTCTGAACTATCTACGTGATTCTCTAGCAAATTCTGTATAGAGCTGGGTGAGCTTTAGCTCAGATACAGCCAGACCACCAAAATTCGAATTTTATTGAGGCCTTATTAATGAGATATTTTTTTCTTATACAAGTACAGTATATGCACTTCTGATTAATCTTCCTCCTTCTGAATCTGGTGGTCTCAGCTAGAAGCAGACTAGCCTGTAGACAAAAGTGCCACATCTGGGTTGGGTTACCACAATTCATTCCGTTACCAAACACTTTTTAAGCACCACTTACTCTGGGACTGGCGTGGTGGGGGGATAGAGAAATAACATGAAGACACCTGCTCATTAGGAGCTCACAGGCTAGCAGGGAAAATAAAACGGGAAAACCAAGTGTTGTTTGTACAAAGTAGAAAAGCAAGGCCCAGCCTGTGGGAGGACCCCGGGGCCTCAGAAGATGGAACTGCTCCTGCAGCTGAGGATTTACACATTCATCACGTCTATGGGGGCCTACCTGGTGCCAGGCATGGTACTAGGACTGGGGAAACCCCAGGGGAAGCCAGGCATGGTACCTGCTCTCATGGAGCTTACAGTCTAGCAAAGACAAAGCAGGAACAGGGAGTTACAATCCAGTGTGAAGGTGTGCTGGCTTGGGAGAGTACAGACATTTGGTACTTCGCACACACCTCATTTAGGCAAACACAATGGTATTTGAGGGAAAAAAAAAGAAAATGGAAAATAACTTGAGGTCATTTGAGTCATTCCACCTGCCCCTCCACTCACTGAGCAGGTAGACAGGAGGGCCTGAGGCGAGCTCACGCCTCTATGGTCCCTGGGGCCTGTTTCAGTTCCCAAGAGCCTCTTTAAAAGTGAGCTTCTCGCCTGAGTGTGATTCTCACGCCTAAAAATAAGTATGTTTTACACAACATGGCCCTAATATTGCAGACCAACACTTTCCCTGGTGCTCAACAACAAAAAAAACCCGTGATCTGTTCCCACAGGGCAGGAACCAGCTGTGCGCACAATGGACCTTGTGATGCTGGTCTTCAACGTGGCACTTTCCTCAGGGTTTCCTAGAGGAATTGTGATTACTCCATTTTTATCTTAGACATGACTTTATAGCCTAACCCTGGAATGAGCCGAGACTCCTACGTGGCAGCACCACGGGACACAAAACAGGGGTCCGTAACCTGGCTCTGGAAGTTGGGGGCAGCCTCATGGAGGGGTCTCTATGTCCTTGAGGATGAGGGAAAAGAGAAGGCGAGGCAGGAGGGGGAGAAGACCATGCAGCTTGTCACCAGCAGGGAGCAGACTGTGAAAGGCTGGTGAGACCACGATGGGTCCGGGGAGCTGGTTAGCAGAGGGCAGTAGAGGATGAGGCAAACAGGCCAGAGATACTGCCAGAGACTCTATCCTGACCAGCCTTAGGAGCTATGAAAGGAGTCTGGTATTTATTCCAAGGGCAATGGTGGAGCTTTGGAAAGGTTTTAAGGAGAGAAATAACAGGAATGACATTCTTACAAAAGTTCATCCTGAAGCACATGAAAAGATGGCCAACATCATTAGTCATCAGGAAAATGCAAAGCAAAACTTGAGACACCAGTTCACATCAGAAAACAACAAGTGTTGACA